AATTTTCTTTCTTTCTTCCAATTCGGTTTCCAGTAATTAAAAAGTACATATGATGCCATCTTTGAATTCATGGAAAAACTATATTTGGACTTAAATAAGGATTATGTTGCTGCCGCAGTTTTCTGTGATCTATCTAAAGCCTTTGACTGTGTCAATCACAAAATACTACTTAATAAACTGGAAAGATATGGTTTTAGAGGCACTGCTCTAAAGTGGTTCAGTTCATACTTGGAAGACAGATGCCAGTCTGTATCAATCAATGAGCGCTACTCTAGTATTATCTTTATTAATTGTGGAGTACCTCAAGGCTCTGTCTTGGGTCCTATCTTTTTCTTGATATATTTTAACGATGTAACTAACCTCGACATTAATGGCCGGTTTACTATATTTGCAGATGACACCACAATTTTATGGCAAAACAAGGACTCTACAGTACTGAACAAGACTATTAGTAGTGATATGCAAAAAATTTTAGAATGGTGCAAAGCTAATCATTTGACATTTAATTTTTCAAAAACTAAATTAATTTCTTTTAAGAATGATCTAAACAACATTACTCTGGACAATGAAGGCATTTGTTCTGATACCGTAAACAAATTTTTAGGTCTCTATATTGATAATAAACTTAAATTTGAGCAACATACTGTATATTTAAGCAAAAAGATATCATCGGGTTGCTTTGCGGTCAAATCAGTTGCTCACCATTTAGATTTCAAGATTGCAAAAAGTGTTTATGTGGCCCTGATTGAATCTAATTTAAGATACGGTATTGCCTTTTGGGGTAGCTGTTCTCTTCATCATTTCAGTAGAAACTTTATGCTACAAATGAGAGCACTCAGATATTTATGCAAGGTCAAGTTTGGTACATCATGCAGGCCTCTGTTCGGGAAACATGGTATCTTGACACTTCCTTGCATATATATCCTTGAATTAGCGTGCTTAATTTTTAAAAAACATAAAGAAGATATTCGGACAGTTTCCCCTTACAATACTCGTCAAAATTATGTTATTCCACTTCCAATTCCCTCTTCTACATTAACTAAAAAATCATATATTTACACTGGTAAGAAAGTGTTTAATCACCTACCACTAGATATAAGATCCTCAAGCAATATTTTTGTATTCCGAAGAGGAATCAAGAAGTTTTTATTATCTAAATGTTACTACAGTATAGAGGAATTTTTTGAGAACAGTTGCGCCAATTGATATATATTTTTTAATTATGGAAATTTTATAATTAGTATTTTAATATATCTTATACCTTGTTTGTACTATACCATGTTGTGTTTTATAAATGTAATCTCATTTTAAAAACAATAAACTTCTCTCTCTCTCTCTCTCTCTCTCTCTCTCTCTATATATATATATATATATATATATATATATAATATATATATATATATATATATATATATATATATATTATTCTTCACATCTATTTACTACCCTCCATCAATTCGTTTCTAGTCATTGCGTTGTGCCAACCCTTACAATTTCTAGATGCTTAATCAGGTCGCCGGGTTTTAGATGCTGAACTTTTGTTAACCTAAAGGCACTTTCTAGAGCGATCCTTCTTACATGTATATACAGAGAAGGAAAGTTGAGCATTATCTCCAAGGCTGTAGTGGAGCATAATCACGTTGCATCTGTAATTCTTCAACATTTATTTGCACTTTTCAAATATAATATTGCATTTTGCTGTATTGCTTTGTTCCACAAAACCAGTAAAGTATAATTACCTATGGGTCTGACAACGGTTTCTGACCAATAGTTCACGGCATGTTCAAAGAACCCTTTGTTACTTTAGTGGCGATATTTGCGAGGTGAGCATTCCACGTAAGTTTATTATCAAATATAACTCTGAGATAATTCACTTCTTACGAAACTGATAGTGTCGTTCCATTCGTGTTCAGAGGTTAAATTGTTAATATCGTTCTATTTGTTGCGTTCTGCACACGTAGAATAATATAATATAATATAACAATTGAGATCATCCTGAAGGGGAGAGAAGATATTCTGTTCAATCCAGAACTCGCTGGTTTCCCCCTTTCGAATTGGGTATATATATTCAACTAAAGAAAAGAAATCAAAGCCAGTGGACTGTATAAAACTCTATTTTAAAAAGGTGTAAAATTAAACATAAATATACATAACCAAATATACCATTATACTTAAAGAAGAATATACAAACTTAACTATCAGCTACTATGAAACACACCAACAGACACACCGAAAGACAACCATAAACCGACCCAAACAAAAATGACGTCGATTCTATTGAAACCAGTGCCAAAACAAAAGACAAAATCTACCATAGCCGCAAACATACTATATATAAAAGATACAAAAACAAATTAATCATATTACAAAAAAAATACATAAAAATATGGATTTATATGTCATTGGTATAAAAAAAAAAGTAATAATGCGTTAGCATACAAATAATTATTACAATTAAGCACAAAAGCAATAAAATCGGTGTTAAAGTACAAAAAATTTACAATACAATAAATAAACCGCGAAATAAATGCAAAATATCCAATTTACAAATAAGATAATGTTCCAAAAAAGTATCAAATAAATATACCAAGTGCACGTACTTGATATATGCAGCAAATCGTATATAAATGGTGTATTGTTCCTTACCCCATGAAAAAGATAGCCCCAACGCTATCGCAAAATTATGTCTTCCGCGACACTTCCACTACCAAAGTTTTTGATGCACATTAGCGTCTTTCTTGGCCGATGCGGAATCAGGTACCCTCAACATGTGCCTCGTTTGAGAGACACCACTCGACTCTCGTTTTCTAACAAACGCAAACCCTTATTTTAACTTTAAAAACACATGTGGCATGTGGAAATCGTCCCTTGTTATCTCGCAGATGGTCGTCTTGGAATGTTTAGCCCTTATCTCTTTTTGGCGCTTAAACACCGCTGTGCAATTGTATATGCAAAATCTCAGTGTAAATATACGGGGAGAAGCGAAACTATTGAAAAATCTGTTAATATATTTACAAATCTTTATTTACAGTTGCGAAACTGCAACACTATTTGTAAATAAAACAAGTGTCGATTTATTAAGATTTACTGAAAGTCCTTCTTTCGAACATGAAGTAGTTACTGAGTATAGTACACGATACATTCGATCAGCAATAATACTGTAATTCTTACCTCTAAGTACTCTAAAATATCGTCACCCACTATCGACTACAGAAGAAATAAGATTCAAATACAAGATATTATCAGAAAATAAAATATAACATGTTATCTGGTCTAGCACTAATGGGACTAAATAAGGGCTAAGCACCGAGTCCTCCTAATACTTTCACGGGAAATTAATTAATCTTTTTCACATATATCTTAATAATAGTTCACGGTGTGACTAAGATAGGTTTATGGCCTTTTTTACCATAAAGCAAAAATACTGCTTTTCCATTCATCTGGAATTAGTCCTTCTACAGTTCTAATTTTGGTCCTAATATGTATTTTTATCGGTGTCAGACCCGACACCACAGTACAATTCCCGTTATAATTTTGAATATAGAAGTAAATGGCTTTAACAAGCAAAGAGTTGACTCCGGCTAAGTTAGAAAAAAATTTACGTGCTTGTGAGACTGGATAGAGTAATGAAGATGTCTCTTTAAGTAAAACAGAATCTGAGTGTTTGAGTGAGGATAAATACAAAGAGCTTAGTGAAAGTGAAAATTCTGATACCATTTTAGTAGAACCAGAAGTTAGTAAAGAGGAGAGTAAAGATTCGCAGAAAGATAGCGATCAAAGAAGAAAGAAAGAAAGCAATATAATGTGAAAAATGTAAGTGGTATAAAACTTTGTTTTTTTCAATCAACATTCGCACAATTAAAAAAACATATTGCTTCGTCTATCAGTTCCAAAGGCTCACGTTTTACATACCCCAGAAGAGATTTTGGCTTGGAAATTATTTTTCGGCGACTGAATGATGGACTATATTACTTAATACATAAACCAAGAAATCTCTAAACAATTTACTAAATTTAGTCGAACTCCAAGTTTTACAAATGCTACTAGCAAAGAAGAGATTTTGGTGTTACTCTTTTATATATGAGTGGTGTTTTAAAATCTAGCTACTTGAGTACCTCGAATGTATGGTCAAAACAATTTAAAATGCCCCTTTTTACAGCAACAATGTCTCAAAAACGCTTTGATATATCTATGGTCCCAATGGAAATGTCACCATGGAAAATAATTCGTTTTCATCTTCAGATATTGCAGAAAAGCGTTTACAAAAAAAGTTGACAATTATTGGGACCTTAAGAAAAAACAAGTCTAACATTCCGCCAGATTTTTTTAAATTAAAAAGAAAAAATTTTCCACGTTCTGTCTTTGCTTTTGATGACAATAAGAAGTTAGTATTATTTTCTCCAAAACCAAAAAAATTGTTCTGTTGCTGTCAACATTGCATACTTATGGTGTACTTGAAGATACTAACCAGACCGAGGTTCTTTTATTTTGTAACTCTACAAAAGGAAGAGTAGACATTTATGATCAGTTATGTCATTCTAAAACCGTGGCTAAAAAAACTCGTCGGTGGCCTCTTAGAGTTTTTTATGACATGCTTGATGGTGCAGATATTAATGCTTATGTTTATTTATAGCGCAGATAGAACCAAATCGGATAAAAATTTAAAAATTACTCCCAGCAAGGATTTTTTTAGGTATTTAGCACCACAGTTGGTGAGTCCGCAACTAAAGAAGAGAATAGAAATACCAACTTTGTCTAGATTTTTGCACTTCATGATTTTGGATGTTCCATCTTGTCACCGTACCACTAATGACCTAAAAAATATTGATACCATTCTAACGTTTTAATTATTCAGATAATCGTTAAACAAGATTCTTGTTGACAAAGTATATCAGGAATAAGTATACAAAGAACGTCATTTAATTTATTACGAATCTCAAAATATTGTAATGCACTTTTTATTCTAAATTTCATTTAGTATTTTTTTTTTTTTGTTTTAGAAATGGATCAATCGACTCAAGTAAATTTTCCAATAGTAACTAAATTCGACAAAAGAAAAATATGGAGACACAACACCTCTACGGATTTATTTACTTCAATGCCCAATAGAGCTATGTCATCTTCTAATTTATGGGTAAGTTATTGGGATATAATTTAAAAACTTAAAAAATTATTTTTGTTATAAACTTCAAGCTTAACAGAAATTGCGGAACCACATCGCTATTTTCTCTCTTCAAGTGAGTGCTTGGTACCGAAACGCCGTCGATTTTCCAGTTTTTTATATAGCGTATATATAAAACCAAGCGTATAAATAAAAGTTTAATTTACAACCAAAATCTACACAAATCTTACCACATTTTTCTCTTTTGTGTCAAAATTAACATTACAATTTACTAGACACCTACTTAAATAGTTTTTGATCGTGTGTTTGTACGTAATGAAATATAAATTGAAGTATATTAGTGACTTGGCCACTTTCCTGTATTACATATTGCGGTACAGATAGAGAATTTTATCTCTATTCCTTTGTCATCTAGCAATTTCAATAGCCTGTACCACATCAATAATAGGAAATTTGTTTTTGTTCAGTGACTCGATAACGTCTTTTAATTCCGAATACAGTACTGTTTGAGATAGTTATTTGGTAACATGTTTTCATATTTTCAAATGGAACTTCATCATTTTGTACAGGCCTTTAAGTGGGAACCATTGTGGAAAAAGACAAAAAAATCGATGAGCCTCTGAAAGAAAATAATTTGTGACACGATGCCGACGAAACGATAGAATAAATAACCGTCTAAAAACTAGACGGGTCGATATATCTAAAGGGACAATTATTGTCGATCTCTAGAGATAAAGTCATATTTGTAGATATTATCAATACAAAGTGTTTTGTGCTTGGTGAAGTGTATTGTTTGTACATTGATGGCCATATTGAAAATGAGGAAAGATCGATTTTGATTGATTTATGGTGAAACAAGAACCATTGCATGACCAGAAATAATAGGAGACCATCCTAGACTATAACCAGAATCAGTACTTAGGATAACGACTCATGAGATAATAAAAACATACAACAAAGTCAATATGACAGTATCGGCCAGATCACAGACAAGTCACTAAATATTAATTTTTAAGATGTACGGTCAGTTTATGTTGGGGATGGATCTTCTGAAAGTACTTGGTGCTACAATAGATGTTAAAAATTAAGTCCTCAAGATCGGCGGTGAAGATTTTTTTTTCAAGAATAAAAATAAGACGTCATAAGATATTAACTATTACATCTATTAGCAGAAACGTTTCATTTTGTATTTGCAAAACAGCATCAGTCTTTATCTGTAAAAACAAAGCTGCTCTTGGTAGAAAAACAGTTCTTAAATTAAAAGGAAAATGCCAATTAAAAAATGTCTTTTTAAAATAGAGTGAAAAAATGTATATAATAGATAATTAATGTAAAAGGTGACTTACATGTGAAGTAATACAACTACTTTGGTAAGCAAAGCAACCCAGTTTTACAAAAAATTGGTCATGAAAACCAATAATTCACATAGTTTATTTGTATTTGAAACATTTATAGTAAAAATTACTTAATCCATGTATAAACATATGTAATCAGATGTAATTGTAATATAAGTATAGCCTTAAATGTTAGACTGAAGCATGACAAAAGCTGCCTGGCAATTATTTAATTATTTAAAAAAACAATCAATAACAAATGGTCCAACGAAGCACGTGTCACAGTTAAAAGTGTTAAATTGAAATTCAATGTAAAAGTGTAAAAATACAAAACTTTAAGTAGTAAAATTGTTTTAGATAAACAATAATTATTATTTACTTTTGGGATGACACTAGAAGCACACCGTTGAAAATTGAAAAATTAAAGCATATCTTATGATATTAATTGCCAGCCGCCATTAACGCAATCCAACGGGTTGCAAGCAAAAACGCGCAGAAACAAATTCAATAGATGGAGAGAGATGACGGATGCCACAAAAATTTATAATTGGTAATGCTTAAAATACCGACACATCACTGTAAGTGGATGTAGGTAATTATTTGAGTTACCAATTACCAATTAAATAAAAATAGTAATTAAGTTACCAATTTGAATTTGATAAAAACCAAATGTAATTACAATATCACAATGCATTTGAGAATAAGTATAGAAAAATGGCAGCACGTAGTCTGTCCAGGTTTCAACGAACAATAAGATTAGGAGTTGTTATTGTGTGATATTTTATAAAAATTATCTGTAATAAATCTAGTGATTTTGCGAAAACGCTAAAGTATCGGTTGACGAATGTGACTCACCTACATGAAATGCGTACCAATTCATCAATTTAGAGATAGTAACCAATACCCAGGACAAAAAAAGAAAAGGCCTCCAGTGTCCAGCACTTCCCAGAGTCTTGATCACGGTAGCGATCAAACAACTAACGGAAGGGGGGGGGTGCTAAGAATCCCTGGGTAAGACCCGGCTGCCACAAGATGACAATTTGGCTATGCTCCTACAATATTCGAACACTGACTGACGACAATAGATTCCCAGAAATAGAAAGTGAACTAAAGTATATAAAATGGGATATCCTTGGTATATGCGAGACCAGAAGAAAAAGTGATGAGTATATAATACTAAAAAATGGCACACATTTTATGCATAAAGGTGGCGAATACACTGGAATGGGATTCTTGGTAAAACAAAGCCTCACACAGTGTATCGAAGAATTCAAGCCCATATCAGACAGAGTAGCATATCTCATCATCAGGATTAATAAAAGAACCACTCTGAAAGTGATCCAAGTGTACGCTTCGACCAAAAGCCACGACGATGAAGAAGTAGAAATATTTTATGATGAAATAAGAACAGCTATAGAAACAAATAAAGCAAATTACGAAATATTATTAGGAGATTTTAATGCTAAATTGGGCAAAAAAGAGGAAGATTATGAACATTTAATTGGTAACTATGACTACGGGAAAAGAAACGATAGAGGAGAAATGCTTCTCAATTTCATGCATGAACATAACATGTACTCAATGAACTCCTTTTTCAATAAAAAACCAAGCAGAAAATGGACATGGATGAGTCCCGATAAAGAGACAAAGAATGAAATAGATTATATCTTAACGAAGAATAGAAACCTAGAAGAAGACGTATCAGTATTAAATCAGTTTGACCTAGGAAGCGATCATAGACTAATAAGAACAAAACTAATAATTAACAAAAACTGGAAAGAAAAAGAATACATGAAAAAAGATACAAATGAACATCTGAAGAAATCAAAAATAGTGAATTTAATAAAAAGGTAGTGCATGCATTAAATCAAGTTAGCATGAAAACGAAAAAGTAATAACAACAACTATTAAAAAAAATAAGAGTATGAAATGCCTCAGACCGACACTAGGACGACGTCAGATGATATCATTAATGGGAAAAGACGAAAATGAAATCACAAGTAGAGAAAACATACTGACACGAATAGAAGAATTTTACACAGAACTTTACAGATCACATCAACAAGATGATGAGATGAGACCAGCACGGAAATTAATAAAAAATGTTGGATCAGGAATAATGCCAAAAGTAACAATTTCAGAGGTAACTACAGCATTGGAAAACATGAAGACAAATAAAGCTGCAGGAGAAGATAGTATTACCACAGATATGATATTAGAAAGAGGTAAGGAACTAATTGCAATTGTAACTAAGCTTGTGGACAGTTGTTTACATCAGGGCAAAGTCCCTAAGAGCTGGAACAACTCTAAAGTAATCTTATTACACAAGAAAGGTGATAGTCGAAAATTGGAAAACTACAGACTCATCAGTCTACTGTCACACCTGTTTAAAATACTCACCAAAGTCATAACTACTCGACTAACAAGGAAATTAGACGAATACCAACCATATGAACAGGCAGGTTCTAGAAAAGGCTATTCAACTTCCGATCACCTGTTAACCACAAAAATATTAATAGAAAAATGTAACGAATACAAGTTTCCAGTTTTCCTAGCATTTGTAGACTACGAAAAAGCTTTCGATACCATAGAACACACGGCCGTAATAAACGCAATGCAAAATTGTAGAATAGACAGCAGATATATTAACTTAATAAAAGAAACTATGAACCAAGCTACAGCTACATACTATCTAAATGAAAATGAACACACGAACCCTGTACCATTAAACAGGGGAGTCAAACAGGGAGATACTTTATCACCCAAACTGTTCACCTTAGTTTTGGAGGACGTTTTTAAAAACCTAAATTGGAAATATAAGGGAATAAACATCAATGGCCGCTACCTCAGTAATCTACGATTTGCAGATGACATAATCCTGTTAGCTACTGAACTACAAGAAATGCAAACCATGCTTTTAGAACTACATACCGAATCTTCTAAAATAGGACTGAAAATGAATTTAAACAAAACAAAAGTCATGCACTCCGAAGACACCGTGACAATAATAAACCATAAAGTTATAGAAAAAGTTGAAGCATATATATACTTAGGACAAAAAATAATCCTAAATAGGGAAATTCAAACTGAAGAAATAAAAAGAAGAAGAAAGTTGGCTTGGGCAGCATTCGGTAAACTGAACTATATACTCAGAAATCAACAAATTCAATTACATCTTAGATCTAAAGTTTTTGATGCATACATTATTCCGATATTAACTTATGCGGCACAAACATGGACAATCACAAAAAAGAATATGAATATACTTAGAGTCACTCAACACGCGATGGAAAGAGCAATGCTAGGTATATCACTTAAGGACAAGAAAGCAAACACATGGATAAGACAGAAAACCAAAGTCACCGATGTGGTGCAAAAATCATTAAAGTCGAAATGGGAATACGCTGGACATGTAGCTAGGAGCGATCTAAACAAATGGCACAGATCAATTTTAACCTGGAGACCATACTAACACAAAAGACCCAGAGGCAGACCTCCTATGAGATGGACAGATGATCTGAAAAGGACTGCCGGGAAAAATTGGCTACAAGTAGCGTACAATAAAAAACAATGGAAAGGAAGACTTGAAGAGGCTTATGTTCAGATGTGGACGTGAATGGCTAGACGAAAGAAGAAGAAGAACCAATACCCAACAACAACAAAATATGTAAAAAATTACTACCAACTCTATTCAGTTCTCAAAACAGCAGGTATAACAGTTATTTATTATGTAAAATAAGAGAATCCTCAATTTCACTAAGATGCTTAATATCATTACGCCTGTTCATAGTTGCAGGCTGTTTAAGAATGTGACACATCTCAAGGAAAGTTCTTTGTAGCTAAAATTTCTGTATTCTCAAAATCAGCCTGGTGGTTTGTTGACAAAATGTGTGTGGATACAGCACACGTGAGTTTAGAGTAATTGATATCGCTGCGAAGTAAAATGAGGCGTCCTTTCAGGAAACGAAGAGTTTGCCCTATATAAGACAATTCACAGTTCCGACAAGAGGCACTATAAACTACATTGGTTTTTGCTTAAATATATATATATATATATTATATATATATATATATATATATATATATATATATATATAGTGTGTAAAAGCCAAATGGAATAAATTCATTATTTAGGTTACTGTACATATTTATAAAAAATCCCGAAACACGTCACATTTAAATTATAACTTGACATTCTTTAACGTGAAAATGCAACCCCTGCCTTCAACCCCCTTAGAATGACAGGTGCAACCCCCAATTTTTAAAATAAAAAGTATAGGCTTGTGATATATCGTTTGAAAGGTCTTTTCATTCTCCATTCAAAAATGTTCGCTTTCAAGTTTATTAAGATTAATTAAGATAAAATAAATTAAAATCATGTGGTTACCGAAATTCGCTAAAATATACTCAAAACTTATTTCCCGTTTAGGTCTTGATAATGAGAAAGTGAACAAAAAACCATAGCAATGTGGTTTTTAGATATGGTAACCATTGAAAAACTTTAAAGAATTTCCGTGGCAACGTTATTTTAACACGCATTAGTAAATTGTTTTATTTAAGTTGTCAGTATTTTAATTTAAGTAAAAAGTTCGTTCAATTCAATTCTGAAAAATGGTTAGATTAACAGAAATGCATAAAATAACAGTTTTACAAATGATTGGTTACAGAGATAACACCCGAACACAACAGGAAGTAACTCGCCTATTTCATGAGAAATTTCCTAATTTACTGCCTATAGAAAATAGAGAAGCAGTTTCGCGAGTTTGGTCATGTAAGGCAGATAAAAAAGCAGCTGTCAATGCACTGAGTGATGAACTCAAATTAGATGTGTTGCTTGAGTTTCAGGAAAATCGACATACATCGAGTAGACAGGCATCCACTACATTCAATGTTAGCCATACATCGATAGTAAACATATTAAAAGAAAATAAATTGCATCCCTATAACATGATAGAAACCTACTATCTTCTACCTACTCTATGTTGTCTAATGAGTGTACTTTTTCACTTAACTGTCATGCTAATCGGCAAAATTGCTGCTACTGGGACACGGAAAATCCTCACTGATGAGAGAAGAACACACTCAATACCCTCAAAAGGTTAATGTTTGGGCAGGGATTGTAGGAAACAATATCATTGGTCCCTTTTTCATTGAGGGCAACTTGAATGGCAACAATTATTTGAGACTACTTCAAAATAATGTCATTCCAACGTTGGCAAATTTATATCCTGATCAAGAAAACCCTCAAGTTCCAGCGAATACGATATGGTTTCAGCAGGATGGAGCACCACCACATTACCAACTTAATGTTCGGCAGTACCTCGATACAATATTTCCCAATCGGTGGATAGGGAGGCGAGGATCGATTGAATGGCCAGCGCGATCACCTGATCTTACATTATTAGATTTCTTTTTATGGGGATATGTGAAGAGCCATGTGTAAAAAACTAAACCTTCTGATTTAAATGACTTAAAAGAACGAATAACGTTTTCGATTAAGTCGATTAGGATGTTGCCAAGACGTTCGCGGTGAACATTTTAAATATCTACTTCATTAACATTCATAGTTTTTTTTTCGTGTTCTACATTTGATTACGTTTTGCATTACATTTTAGTGTTTGATTGTATTGTAGCGAATTTCGGTAAACACATGAATTTAATTTATTTTATCTTAATTAATCTTAATAAACTTGAAAGCGACAACATTTTTGAATGGAGAATGAAAAGACCTTTCAAACAATATAACACAAGCCTATATTTCCTATTTTATTACAGTAACCTCAATAATGAATTTGTTCCATTTGGCTTTAACACACTGTATATATATATATATATATATATATATATATATATATATATATATATATATATATATATATATACCCGGTATTTAGGTGGCACACGCCCGGTAGGGATCTATGGAGGAGTATCACCGAGACGCAAGTCCTTATCTCTTGCCGTACTGCTCTACCATAGGCCGATCAGACACCAGCATATTCTAGTCTAAGCCGCAGATTAATTTTTAGAATTTTAAACTGCTGCGTTAGCCTTTTTGTTTTCTGTACACCGAACTCACTTCCTCTGAAACACTAGCAGTAAAGCTAGTGAGGAACAGGCCGCCCAGCCCGCTTGGCTATCTGACCGACTATATATATATATATATATATATATATATATATATATATATATATATATATATATATATATATATATATATTTACTTATATATATATTATTATTGAAGTATTTCAAACCCCTTTTTAAATTTGTCTCTACAAGTTTGCCTTAAAAGAGTCTAAAAAGAAAAAATTAATAACGAAGCAATAAAAACACAAATATTTCATGCTGAATTAATCGAACTATATTTTTAACATGAAACATTATATGTATCTAATAGGATATTCAATTCTTTTAGGCTCCAGTAAAACCATCTAGACCGAGATCACTAAACGTCACATCAGATACAATCAATCGAACGAAAATATCATACCTAGATCATTCAATGAGTTTACAGCCTCATTCATTAGAAACGTCTTTTGGATCAATATCTCGTGAAAGGACACCACCTTTCTCAAGTAATTCTAGTTTAACTTCCAATGGACCATCGTCAAGTATAGTTAATGGTACACCATCTGCTTTTCCTACAAGTCCATCCTCCGGATTTGCGAGCAACCCGGCATCTACTGGTTATACATTATACAAATCAAGACCAAGGGTAATAAAATTATAATATATTTTAAAGTTATAGACTACTTTAATACAAAAATATTTGATAAAATTGATTATGTGCGGTGACAGTAAACGAAACCCGTAAAGTTTTAAGTTGAAATAAAATATTTTTCTTCTTTTATGCAAAAAACCAATTTTTTTGGTTTTTTGTAAAAAAGATTTTTATATAAAAATTCTCATCTCAACCGGATTCGAATTTAAGATAACTAAGTGCTTACGCTTAGTAAGTTGACGGTCTTACCACAGTTATGGCAATTCGCGCCACTGGTTACTATAATTTAGATAATTACGCTGTAATTCTAGAAACGTCATCAAAAATTAATTCTGACAAATACACAATTTAAAGTTTTAAAATGAGTAATGTTATTGGGGAAGTAGATGATATTAATAAAAAATAATTTATTTATTTATTTATTTGTTTATTTAATATACAGGATAACCCCATTAACAGTTTAAATTACAATATACAATATCATAGTTCGTTAGGATTCCAAACTTGAAATTACTTAAAAGTTGAAAAAAGTTTAAAAAATGAGACTAAAAATTTTACATACTAAAAAAAACAGACAAAATATAACAAGAACCAAATTCAACAATCCCAATATACATATCACAAAGCAAGAGATCTTTTGAGTTGTTATACTGAAAATATCAAATCGAGAACATTTAATAGCCCCATGTATCTATACAATTGGTTGTGGATACCATAGGTTGTTCAAGGAATACTGAAAACATTGTGGTAACGTAGAGCTTGATGGGGAACATTAAAGTTAATCTGGCTTAATAGGTTCGAACAGTCAATAAATCCATGTATGATCTTATATATAAATATAGCTCCTGATATATCACGACGGTTCTTGAGTGAGGGTAAACATCATTGTTCGATGTGAGAATAATCGTGTTTCAGTAGTAGTGTGGACATGGTCCAATGGTCCACAATCTCAAAAATTTATGCTGGACTCTTTCTATGATATTAATATTGTTCTGAAAATAGGGTGACCAAATAACTGAACACTATTCCATAATAGTTCTAACTAAGCTAGAATACACAAATATTGTTGAATCAATGGAGAAATACTTGCAATTCCTATATAGTAACGAAACCAAGACGTTTAGATGCCTTTATTGAAATAGAGTTTATGTGGTCATAGAAAGTAAGTCAATTATTAATAGTATAGCTTTTTATAATTCAATTGACTTTACGAGAAAAACTTATAAAACAATATTTTTTGAAATTTAAACTGAGTTTGTTCTAGTTGCACCAATTTTGTAGTCAGCCTAAGTCATCTTGTAGCAAGACTTGATCTTTTAAGCTAAGTAAACTTTTCAAAATTTCAAGTCATCTGCCAACATTAGACATTTGCTATTTAGGAAACAGAAAGTAATGTCGTTAACGAAGATATTAAAAAGAATTGGAGAAGTGTAGTCTTCTTGAGGAACCCCAGATGTTACTGAGATACTCTCAGAAAGATGACAACCTATCTTGACATTTTGACTTCTCCCAGATAAAGAGTTTTTAATCCATTCAACAAACCTGACATGTAAACCTACATTAATTAATTTGCCCAAAAGTATTTGGTGACCTACACAATCAAAGGCTTTGGAAAAATCTGTGTATCTGTGCATTTACCTGTTTACAGTCTTCCATTTTTTTATAGCCCTTTTTCTATCCGAATTGTCGAATAAAGGCCTCTCCCATTTCTCGTCATTCATCCCTGTTGTATGCTAGGCGTTTCCACATTGGTCCTGCGACTCTTTTGATATCGTCGCTCCAGCGCATTTGAGGTCTTCCTCTTGGTCTCTTCGCATCGTACGGTCGCCAGTTTCCGACTTCTTTGTTCCATCTACCATCTTCGAGACGTTCGTTGTGTCCAGCCCATTTTCATTTTAATTTAGCTGCTTGTTTCGCGGCGTCCTTTATTTTTGTTTTGTTCCGGATTGCTTCGTTCCTTTGCCGATCTATTAGTGAGATACCAAGCATCTGTCGTTCCATGGCTCGCTGAGTTTTTCGAATCTTGTCCATGTTCTTTTTTGTGAATATCCAGGTTTGAGCTCCGTAAGTGAGAACGGGAAGGATACAAGAATCGAACACTTTGGTTCGAAGGTTTTGGGTATCTTTTTGTCTTTCAGTATATATGAGAGTTTTCCAAATGCGGCCCATCCCATTCTTACTCGTCTGCTTATTTCGATAGTTTGGTTTTCTTTGTTTACCTTGATATTCTGATCCAGATATATGTATTCTTTTACATGTTCCACTTTAGTTCCTTGGATGGTTATCGTCGGTTGATCATCTTTATTCGACGTTAGCTTAGTTTTACTCAGATTCATTTCAGTCCTTTTTTTTATGGATTCCGTATAAAGCTCATCGATTATCGTCTTCAGTTCTTTCCAGCTGTCGGCTATTAGTACTACGTCATCTGCATATCTTAGATGGTTTAAATACTTTCCGCTTATCGATAGTCCCTTCGTTTCCCAATTTAGTGATTTAAAGATGTCTTCAAGTGCGGCAGTAAATAGTTTTGGAGATATGGTGTCTCCCTGTCTTACTCCTCGGTTGATTTTTATCGGCCTCGTTTTCATTCCGTTATCCATCGTTACTACCATTTCAGCGTGTTGATATATATTATGTATTAATATCCTATATCTAGAATCTATTCTGCTGTTGACCAGTGCTTCCTCAAAAGCCCATATTTATATGACAGTCCATATGGGATAATATATCAGATTGATAGCAAACCAAGTTTGTTGCAGTGGATTTTCTGCTATGAAAACCATGTTGTGATTGAGATATTAAGCCTTTACATAACCAAGAAATTTGCTGTGCTATAAGACAGTCGAAGAGTTTAAGATTGCAGACTGTATACAAATGGTACCATAATTTTCAATATTGTCTTTCTGACCATTTTTAAATATGGGAACAACATAACGTTCTTTCCATAAAGAAAGAAACAGAAGTTTCCAGAGATCTATACAACAATATAACAAATGTTATTACATGGCTACAGACACACTTTTTAAATAAAAAATTAGACATTCCATCTGGACCAGCAGTAGGCTTATTGGGCAGCTCATTTATGCCATTAAAAATATCAGTCATGGTAATCTTAGGTCAAATATTTGTACTAAAGTTGCTATTTAACGGATGGATAGGTACGTACAGGTTGTTCATAAATAAATTAGCTATGTCTTGACCAGGTGTTGCAAATTGGACTTAATAACATGAGGAGTTAGGTAGTGTATGACTAGATCGTGTATCATTGATGTACTTAGAAAATGATTTTGGATCATTTTTAAGCCAGTATCTATACCATTAATATAGTTGCTGAAGCAAATTTCAGACAGTTTTTTACATTCAGCTCTTATGTGGGAAAATCTAATATAGTCACCATCAGCACGATTATTAACATAAATTTAGTGAGCATTTTTTTTCTCCAGAGTCAGTCTTTCAAAATCAGCAGAGAACCACTTGGGAAAAGTTCAAGTTCTATATGTCTTCAATGGCACAAAGTAAGCAATTTCTATGGAGAGAACTTCATAGAATAATTTTGTAGTAACATCAATACCATTAACCATACATACCTGCCAGTCTATGGAAGCAAGGAAGTTGTTAAGCGCAATGTAATTGCCATTCCGAAAATCATAAAACAACTCATAATAAACAAACCTATTTCTATTTGTTTCTTTAACATCGATGTTTAAACAACATTCATAACCCACATGATGGATGCTACAACAATAGAAAAAACTAAATTCAAAAATACATTACGATTATTGGGAATATTATTATGTTGATACAATATTTAAAAACCAAAGACTTGAGCAATGTTCACATCTGGATCACCTGCAGGACAATTCACCATTACACCAAACTCATTATTCTCCCAGAATGTATTGGAAATATTGTAATCACCAAAAACATAGATATCCTATGCTAAGTATTGCAGAACAACATTTTTCACAGTTTGACAATGCCATGTGTATACTTCGCGAGGTGATTGTGGAGGTATGTAAACACCACCGACCACAAACTTGACTTCATTAAGTTGACATAAGATATATATTTGCTCAACCCGATCTTCACAAATACTAATGGTTTGTGACTTTACCTTGTTGTTATCAAACACTAGTACACCACCGCCACTCGACTTTGCACTGGTTATCTGTGATCTATCACATCTGTAGATACCAAAACCATCACATTTAATTTCACAATCAGTTATGTTATCATTCAAGTTACTCTCCGCTAAAATAAATATATTGTACAAGCAGCAGAAAATACTTTTTAGTATCTCGGAAATCTTTGTACGAATGCCTCTAATATTTTGATAAAAAAACTTTTAATGAGAAGATACTAGTTTTTTTGTACTTTACTTCACAGTATTAACACCACTGCGGTATCTAATGCATAATAGATTTTCATCGCCAGAAGATTTTCTTTCCTCTAGTTCCTTTTTATCTGACTTGTAAGCGTCTTGTTCCATCTTAGTTTGATCCTTAGAGATTTTATAAACAGTATTTCGAAGCTTATTACTAGACTTAAGAGCCAATTTCAACTAGCATAATATAACTTTGACAGATCTAGCTTGATTGAAACTGGACACTATGCAAACTCGGATAACATGTGATATGATGGATTATTCTTGCTGTAAGCCAAGTAAACGAAAGACGTCACACACCTGGGATCAGCTAATACATTAGAGTTATATTCAGGAATTTTATAAATCATAAGATTTCTAAATCTATACATTTTTGTACTTCATAAAAAATTAAATTGGCTGTTGTCTATGAATTGCTATTTTCCATTAATGTAATATTTTCTTTGAGACTGGTGATTTCTTCTTCCAGCTTGGCAAATCTTCGCACAAACGTAGGAACACTCTTAAATGCATCACGACAGGTAGCGCAAAAGTACATTATGTATGATGTTTCTGCAAAATAATTGAACGTATCTCGGATGTGGACAAGCCACAGCAATTTTCTGCAATGCGTAGTATCCTTAAACGGCAACTGCCGCATGCTATTATTTTTAATATGATTTCAAAACTTAAAAAGTTTTTAGAAAAATAAAGCAGCAAAATTGTGTTTGTTTTGATAACCTAACCCATGAAAACCTAAATAATTCGTTATTATCCTACCAAAAGTCAGTGAAATACCAAGCAGCGGCAATAAAGTTATTGCTGAATAAATCAAGAAAACAGTATGGGCTCAATTATACGAGTTTTCAAAAAATTAAAAAGTTTTGACTAAAAAGTTGTAAATCTTCAGAAAATACGCTTTTTTCATATTTTCAGAATGATAGAATAGTATTAATCCCTCAACACTTTTGAGTCTGGGTATTCAAATGTAAGAACTTCTATTCCTTCAAAAAAAAATATTAATATAAAAAATTATAAAACAGACTTTTATTAACAGAACGTTGTAGGATCTCAGCCACAGTATTAAAAAATATTGAACTGTGAATACAAAACTTCTAAAAAAACTCCAAACTAATTTAGTTATATTTTATTTTATATATTTATTTATTTATAAATATTATTAGATATATTTTATATTTATTTATTAAACAGAGGTGAAAATTTTTTGCTCAAAATAATCACGGGAATCGATAGAGGATTAAATTCTAAGCAATTTTTGTTCTATGGAGATTTTTCAGAAAGCCAATACCGTCTGAGCTATTTATGGTTGAAAACAGAGAATTTTTATTGAAAATTCACGTTTTTTTAGCGGTTTTTCATGAATAACTCAAAAATATGCCTTAGATCGAAAAGTATGGAAAACAAAAACTTATAAAAAAAGAATGAGACTATTTTTTTACATTTACATATTCTAGATACAATACTAAGTGAGATATGGTCTGTGAGAAGAGACATTGTTTGCGAATACTAGGATCAATGCATTCAACGTTAAATTGTAAGAAAAGGGTTGATTTTTGAACAAATGTTTTTTGTAGTTCATGAAAAGATCTTTAAAATGAGTATTGCAAAAGTCATGTGCATGTAAACTGAGTAAGTTACAGCTCGTTAAAGATGAGCTATTTGAATATTTTAAGGAAAAAAGGCAATATGATTAACCTAATATCCACCAGAATCAAAATTAATTGTTATCCTTCTACATAAAATTTTATTTTAGTGTTCTTGTTTAGATCCAAGAATTAGACTGGTTTAAAACGTATCATTTTTGAAAAAAGTTATATTATACTTTAATCTATTTGAAAAATTTCTAAAAAAATTTGCAACTTTTCGTAAATATTAGATATCATCCGCATACCTGTCATTATTAAATTTCTCCCCGTTTTATTTACGAGTATACCTCTATCTACATTATCTAAGACTTAATTTAATAAGTTTTCGGTGCATAAATTAAAGCTCGTTTAAAAAATATTAATACGCACCTGTAAGAGGTTATAATTCAATAAAATGTAAATTTAATAAAAATTTTAATTTTAGGTAAAAATTAGGGATGATGAGAGTACTGCCAGTGGGCCCAAAACTTACTGTCGATGCTACGACATCGAACATAGTATGACCAACGAAAAAAGGCAACTAACAAATACAAGTGACGGCTTATCATGGAGAAGGTTACATATGTCTAGAGCAAAACTCAAAGCAACCGCCACGACTTCTGAATTATTATCTGGATTTGCCATGATAGCTATGGTAAGTAAAATATAGCTTAAAAAAAGTATCCAAGGATTTACGTCTAACTAAAAAGCAGTACCTTTATATAACAGAAAAAACCTTTAAGATATAAAAATATTAAATTCACAAATACAGTCCACAATCTTGAAAAAAAAAAGATTCGGTTAATCATCGATATATAAACAGTCGTAAATATATCACAATAATTTACTTGCAGAAGGCGCGTTGAAATCAAGAAAAATGTGAGTTTATTAATAAGTGGTCCGGCACTTTCCTTATGTAGGCTTTAGGTTAAAGTGGTTTTAGGTTAATTAGCTAAATATTTGCAGAAGGTGGCTTTGGTCATCATCATCTCTGGCTCTACAACCCTTAATGCTTCGTTTGTAAGCAGAAACTGACGCTGCGTTGTACTACGGAGGCAATATTTATATTTCCCACTCGCCTCCCCTCCACTGGTTTTGGCTTGAGGGAGCGTGTCGTTGTTAACTTGTTATGTAAGACATGGATACCAACATTAAAATCCACAAACGCCCTTCCCGCCAAACATGAAGAAAGAAAAGCTACTACAAACAACGACACACCCCCTCAAGCTGAAACCAGTGGTGGGGAGGTGAGGGGGAAATATAAATATGCCTCCTGTCGTACCGGACTAAGTGGTATACTGGATAAATATCATCAATTATACCACTCCGCTCGCTCTAAGTTCGATCTCGTCTTGAAAAAGACAAGATCTATTTGTTTTACAACTGTTAGGTTAAATAAAACGCAGGTTTGTAGATAAACAAGAGACTCAGAGAGCCTCAGAGTCTGAAGAAAAACAAGCAGAGCCCCTAGAGCGAAGTGCTCTAGGAGAGTCCGTGAAGGACCGACTTGAGATCCGAATAATGCCATATTTAAAGACAATTTAATATTTATATGAGATTCAAAATGACCTTATTGATCGCAATATCATCAATTATACTACTCCGGTCGCTCTAAGTTCGATCTCGTCTTGAAAAAGACAAGATCTATTTGTTTTACAACTGTTAGGTTAAATAAAACGCAGGTTTGTAGGTAAACAAGAGACTCAGCCTCAGAGTCTGAAGAAAAACAAGCAGACCCCATAGAGCGAAGTGCTCTAGGAGAGTCCGTGAAGGACCGACTTGAGATCCGAATAATCCCATATTTAAAGACAATTTAATATTTATATGAGATTTTCGGACCTCTCGGCCAATAGAAACACGAATAAAATGTGAGAAGGCGGGCGATGCGCGCCAAGGTGCGTATTAGTTGGTCACTATATGCACCAGGGCGACACTCCGTAGTACAAGGCAGCGTCAGTTTCTGCTTACAAGCGAAGCATTAACATCTTCAGAAGATGCCAACCCCTAGTGTTGGCGAAACGTCGAGAACTAATCTGAGAAGACAACGGCCTAATAGCCCGAACAAACAGTTTAACAAATATACAGGATATTAAGTAAATAAGTGCGACAAGCTTTAGTGTATAAAAAAATAATTAAAGTTTACTATACAAATGTATGTCCTTAAATGCTTCGTTTTCCGAGATATGGGATGTTGAAACTTTTCTTACAAACTGACGATTTATTTATTGCTCTAAAATTGGTTGAGATATGCCAATTTAATAATGGGTTTTAAGAGTAGTTACTGTGCATTTTATATTCATTATTGCATATTATCAAACCGCTCAAATTTCTAATTTTTTAAATAGCATTTTGATACAGACGAGGCTGCTTTTAGAAGACATTGTATACGAAATTTTCATAATAATCACGTATAGTATAAGATTCCTCTGCAAGATTACTACGTTCATAACATAGTTAATCAAACTCACATTTTTACATACATTAAATAATACATTGATAATAAATTGCCAGTCAAAAAGTGGACGTAAATAGTTTCAATTCCATTAATAGTAATTATGTAATTCTTGAACAAATATTTCGTTCATTTATTTTTTAAATAAAATAGGCTGCTCATGACGTACATGCATTTTTTTATATAGAATACATGCATGTACGTCATCAAAAAAAATTTAAGCTATTTTTTAATAAGGTTGCCTAAGAAAAAATGGTCGTAAAGTGCAAAATTAGGGTTGTACACTGCGCAACGCCAGTGTCTAACATGGTTATTGTCAGGCGTCGATAGATATACAATATGTGCAATAATATACAATGCATACTATCACTTGTCAAATCCGTATCGTTGCGTGCTAACTATATTTTACTTTATTTTTGATACCTCGCGTTTAACAGCTGGCAACCCTAAATTGCGACCATTTTTTCTCAGGCAATCTTATATTATCACCATCAATGGAACCACAGCTTTAGTTGAGCCTCTATCTTCCCCAGTCTATTTAGCCAGTCGTTTTTGTTTGCTGCGCCCATCTTCCTCGCCTCCTCGTCCACACCATCCCTCCATCTCAGTCTTGGTCTACCTCTACTCCTCTTTCTTATTCGTGCCGCTAATAGGGTTCATCTGTGTGGGTAATTTTCATTTGATCTTGACAACATTTCCAGTCCATCTAAGCGTACCTATTTTGATGAAAGATATTATATCTCTACCATTACATACTTCCCGGATAATTCGACATTATACCGCCCCCTCCAAATACAATTCTCATAGATTGGGCTCATTATTCTGCGTAGTATCTTCCTTTCGAAGACGAGCAGACGATTTGTGTGTGTTTTGGAGATGATCCATATTTCTGAGTCATATGTCAGCATTGGTACGATGAGTGTTCTGTATATTATTAATTTGTTTTTTTTTTGCTTAAATTTATCTTTCTTATCTGCTTATTTAGTCCAAAATAATATTTGTTCGCTATCAGTAACCAGTACCCTTCTAGATGGAAACCATATTTTAAGCTGTGGCAATCGTATATCATTATATTAAAAAAATTGCTTTACTTTGATATAAAAAACATACATGCACGTAATGAGCAGCGTATTTTATTTAAAAAATAAATGTATGAAATAAAATTTTTGTTCAAAAATTAATTACCATTAATTGCATTAAAAATATTTGCGGCCAGTTTTTGACTGGCAACCTGTTATTAATATATTCTCCTATTATTAAATGTGTGCAAAAATGTGAGTTTGATTAACTACGGTATGAACGTAGTGATCTTACAGTGAGTACTTAGACATTATGGGATGAGTAAATTCTTCACAGAATCTTTGAAGCTGATTTTCAACATATTTTAAGTAAATATATGGCTTGGGGTAATTAATAATCATTCAATCGGTCCATATTTCTAATAGACCTTTGTTTCCTTCAGGAAGAGTTGCTTATACTTTTTGAAGAAATTAACACTTAATGGTTAATGCATGATGATGCACCAGCTCATTTAACATGTATGTACGTAATCACTTACGAGACACAATATATAAAATTCTTTGAATATGTCGAGGAATCGAATTATAACCAGCTGTGAGACAATAAGAAATACACTAGGAATATTTGCGCGAATACGACAACCAATGAGGCTAAGAGTTGAAGCTTGTGGCACGTTTCAGGAAAGTCATTTTAAAATTTTTTTGTAGCTTTGCGCGTATTTAAAATAATTTTATTAGCGGTACTCTGTTCTGTTCTGATTTAATGTTATTGTTTTAGATAGTTCTTAAGAATGTATTAAAGAAATAAAAAATACGCGTTGAGATGTTTTATTTTTTTTTGCATCATACGAGGCGCAAAATCAGCCCCTCATATAAAAAAAGAGCGGTATAGATTTTTTGTGACAAATGAAAAGACGCATTCAAAAATGATTTTTAATTTAAAATATCTCAGTGACGTACCATGTTTTTCTTTAAAAAATTGAGACTATCGCCCGTATGGGCACCAATGAAGAATATAAAATTCGTGTGTCAGTCAAAAAATACGACACAACCACCTCTTAAAACACACAAGCCTCTTAAAACATAAGCAATAGAAAACTTTAGTTTATTATTATTTCTTCACGCAGAATCGCTTACTGAAATTTGTTGCACTTAGTTACTAACACACTGTATAGTATTCAAATATATATTTTTTAACTGGACCGATACTTCGAAGCTCTGTAACTCAGATACAATTGATTTTCTGAGTCTTGAAAACAAAAAACCTTTGATCAAGATGCGCAAAGCTACCTCTCTGCAAAGTTTCAGTCAAAATGGTATTTTTTGGTGTAATATACAGAATTTTTCACTTAAACCGCAAAATTGACTTATCATCGAAAATAATTGGATTTTAAATCTGAAAATTTCGATTTTTAAATAGCTGATCTACACGTTTAAAATATTTATAACTTGCAATCGCTTCCGGTTAAACTTTTGGTAGAAGTCAACTTTATTCTTAATGAAACACTCTGTGTATTATTGCATTTTTACTCTGAATGAAATTATGAACAAATTTTGTCTACGGTACCATATTTTGTCAATTACTTCTTTCTTTAAACAAGAAATTAATAGAGACATTTTGAAAAGGACTAACTCGTCTACTTAAAAACACTATCTTTTGTAAACCTGTACACACGAAGAGTAAATAAATCAATTGTCTTTCAAAATGTACTAGGTTAGTTTTCTATATCTAAAGTTTTCTGTAAAACTTTTGCTGTTAGTTGTGTTATTGAAAAATTGTTCAGTCGTATTTAATAGGATGAATTTGAATTTATACTAAGCAGTTACTTATAGGAAGGACAAGAAAAATATTCCCAAAAATCCAAACACCATGCACTTCGCAATCAGCAAACTACTCGAAGGGAAGGCGTATTATGCAGTAATACTGTGAAAGTTCGTAAACCAAAAATTTTTAAACACTTGTTACATCCAAGATAAACAGGATATAAAAAATGAAGATAAGAAATAATAAATTGAAAACACAACTTAAAGAAATGTTTAAGATAGCCACCATTTTATTTGGAATACCAAAGTCATTTATAGATCCCTTAGCCTTAAGCAATCTTCTTCACAAGCGCGTTTTTGAATGTTTCCAGTACTTAAGGACTAGAAAGCAACTCTCACTTGATTTTTCTTACACAGAAA